GGTGGGACAAATATTGCAATAGCTGCATGCGCATAAGTTTACTTTTCTTCTTATCTACGTAAAGCAATTGGCAATAACAATTTGACAAATGTTATAAGTGTATTCGCTCGTGTTAGCAACACTCGACATGCCAGTACGGATTCATCGATTGTTGCAAGCGGAAGGTTTATTGCGACAATCCTTTTTCCTGGTTTTATATTTTTACATTATGAGATTCTTTTATTAAGTATATAAAAATATACCAATTTTTTCTTTTTTTTAATTCAGAGCTTAACTATACCGTTAGGTGTAAGTACTAAATGTATTCATATAATTGCTTGTTGCGTTGAATGAATCTGAGTGTTATTGGCGTTTTCAGTGTTGTTGAAGATTTCTTTTATCGAGTCAGGAACTTTTGCCTGGGTTCGTGAAGCCTCGTATTCCTTATAGTACAATAAGATATGTTCGATGGTTAAGGGATGTTGTGTAAAGAAAACGAACGAATAATCCCACTTCTGGGATTCTAAGGGTGTTCGTAACAGTCAGCACTGGCCGAATATTCTCTAAAACCGAACTCTCCCGAAGGAACTCTCTAAAAGGCACTGTCCAACGACACTATCTCGACTCTCTATCTCAACTCTCTATCTCAACTTCCGCGCTATCTTTCAGAGCGGGCCCTTTTAAGCCCGTCTAGAAGGCAAGGACCTCCCTCGAAGGAGGAGAAAACTCCCCCCACATAAGGCTCTGGGGTGGAAGGGATTCATCCTTCAGGTTAGGCTCTTCGAATGGTCACCCACGCGGGGACCCTTCCCGAGAGGTGCCCGCGGGCGCGTCACCCCCAGTTTACAATGGGGAAAATCGGGGTTAGGTTGTTAGGGGTTGCGCGAGGCTACCTCACGTGGCCTGGCCCCGACTTCCCGAGACTCGTCTGACCGCCAGATTCTAACGGGACCTCTATACCTGGCGAGGTCTAAAGATATCCTACATTCTTAAAATTGGTACTTGTCGCATTAGGGTGGGGATGTTTTTTCAGAAGATGTTCCTGAGTAATTCTGGAATGTCCGATCTGGATCCTATTCAGTACGACTTGGTCTCTTCTGTTAGTAGGTCTTCCTATTCCATATACCAATTTTGTTTCATTTAAAACGCAGTAAAATTTCCATGCAACATGGGTTAATTTTATTATCAGAAATTCCGTACCGCAAAGAGTTAATACCGCTGCCTTCGGAAATCCGATGGACAGGGATAAAGCAATTAAGAAATTAATCGAACAAGGAAGTTGACGGCGAGGAGCGAGCAAATCGGCTCTCTTATCCGTGGAAGTAAGAAGTACGAGGGTCTCCTGTAGGTCCCGTGTTCCCTCGACGTGTCTTATCAGCCACGTAAAAGCTGATGGCCGGATGGCGGGACAGAGGCGGAATCCTGTCTCTTCTGTCCTCCTCGGTCGAAATTCCCGCGTCACAGTCTGGTTAACGTCGCGCCGGCTGAGAGATCGCGGATAATCCGGCGACACGAGCCTCTTCCCTCGGTCTTGCTCTTTGTCGTTCCATCGTAATGATATTCCACTTTGTTAACGCGCAAAGTCGGTAGCCATGATCCGTTTCCACGCACCGGTGCACTCAGCTACGCCAGCGTCGCCGCGGTCGTCGTCGTCACGCTGGAAATCCAAGAACACGCGTCCGACGCGAGGATGACGATGATGATGATGATGATGATGAGGATCCCGCGTAATCCTCGCCGCGACGTAATCCGCGTGTCGTTCGTGATCCCTGCCAGTTTTTCATCCCTTCTCCCTCGTTCGTTCGATCATGGTTGCGACACGCGACACGCTCGATGGATCATCTAGGATTTCGGAACCCGCTGGATTTAATTGTTCCTGATGCTGGCCACCCGAGGACGTCCCACATCGATGGGTCGCTGTCGAGGCAGCCCATGTTCTCACGAATGTGTTTACGGAGATGATTAAAAAGGGAGGAATTTATGATCGGGAATTTATGGTACGAGCGTTCTGATATCGATTGTCTGGTTATTTATTGCTTATATTACGCAGTGGGTGCAAGTAGCAAGTGTTAATTATACCGTATCGTTGTTGGAACTGAGTATCTTCATCCTGTGGTGATAGGATTGTAGCGACCATCATTTTTACCCTCGCCGGTAGGTGGATCCGGAGCTTTAAAGAAGTTCGAGGACTTCCTCGCAAGTCCTCGGAAAACCTCCGCTTACGATATATATGACTTCGAGATATTTCAATAGTATCCCCGTCTAAGGCAGGGTCTGTTAGAAAGCTTTACCGACGAGTCCACTAGTAGGTCCAGAACGAATCGCCCATACCTTCCTTTTCCTTTCATCCCTTCTAGCACCATCTAGGTACTAGACCATAGCTACCATAGCCACCATAGCTACATCTAGGATACCTGCGACAAGCTGACTTCAACGAACATGGGACAGGACCCCTACACACTATATCATTGTTGAAACTGATTGCGAGTATCTCCATCCTGTGAAAATAGGATGATAGAATGTTGCAATTCCGATACTTACCCGTAGTTGGATTATTCCCTGCCTGGACCAAAATAAGCGATTATAAAATAATTACTATATCCTCCTATATAGGTGTTTTTATCCCAGCTGGATTTACAGAGATGGTTGAAGGAGAAGATAATATGGAAGTTCTCCACTAGGTTGATTTTGAAATAATCAGAGAACAGCGTGCGATATTTGCATAGAGTATCGAAGACCAGAGCCAAGAATTCCATGTTGGTTTTTTAAATCCACTTTCGTTGCCGCCACATAGGAATGCGATTAACTCCTGCAAACGGGTTAACGTATTCTTCGCAGGTGGATTAATTCAGCTCATTACTCTGGATGTAGAAGTACAAACCGTGCGATTTCATATTCAGATTTCATTCACCGCAGTTCCCTTTCGTAACGATCTGTACCTCTCGCGACCGCCAGCGACTTCCACTAACCCCATTTTCCATTCGAGGCAGTAGAGACAATAAAAAGTGTTTGAAACATCGATCGAGGATCTTTCGATATCCGTAACGATCGATGCACTGTCGAACATCAGATATCCTTCGAATCGCTACCGATTCCTCGTTTTACCCAGAACGACGCCCCCATTGTAGCACCCATTGTAATCCTCGTCCATGACAGGGGAACTGAATTCGAATCGCGTGGTAATAAAAGGAATCACAGAAACGAAACATTTCGTTGCGAAACGAGTCGTTCTCCGGCTCAGAGTCTCCATTCTTTCTAGTACCATCCGTTTATCCGATAGAACTCGGGCCCCTCGAGTTTGCGACCTATCTTATTCCAACCATAGTTTACCTACGTTTGGTCCGCTATCCAAATTGGTCCTCCAGATGCCGAAATATTTTTATCCGATCCGCAGTATATCGTGCGTCGATTAACAAAGAGACACTCGCGGTAAATACACGCGCCTATCCGCGGAATGTGAGAATTTTCGTATCACGCCAGAGGATCTTTCTCCCTCTCTTTTCTCCCCTTATACGGCAGATTTCTTTTGCGGATTCTAAATTGCACAAGGACGATCGTCGAAGGCTGCACCGCTGGGTTTCCGAAACCCAAGGCCACGGCAAAGTGGATCACGATGATGTGCAATGAAATCGCAATTCGCGAGGACTGAGAGGGTAGCCGTGCGGAACCGCGATCGATCCCTCGATCCAATGATCCAATGAATCGCGCTATTGTTACGATAGATCCGACGAACGTTCTCCACGCGTCGCATTTCGAGGTTAAACGAAGAACCTCGGGTCCGTTTTCCTTTTCGATTGAGAAGGGAGAAATTGCCGATTATATTTTTTGGATAATCCATAAATGTTTTCATAGTTCATAAATGACTATGTTTCGGCTACGATATTTTATTTCAAACGATTTACTTTTTAAATGAAAAGAATCATTGACTGTTCAGGATACTTACTAAAATTCCCGACAGATGTACCTCAGAAGAATAGGGCTTTCCTTTATACACGAATTTTATTAACACTAGAACTACCGATCTTTAATGGGTACCTAACTATAACGTGCACAGATTATAGTAATTTCAGCGGTACGATGAATATAAGTGAATATATCGATTACAGTTCTTTCTTAACCTCTTAAAAATTTTGCGTTTGTGACACGGAGGGGGTCTAAGGGCGCTTAGAAATTTTACGTTTGTGACATGGAGGGCGCCTAAGAGCGCTTAGAAATTTTGCGTTTGTGACACGGAGGGGGTCTAAAGGCGCTTAGAAATTTTGCGTTCGTGACACGGAGGGGGTCTAAGAGCGCTTAGAAATTTTGCGTTTGTGACACGGAGGGGGTCTAAGGGCGCTTGGAAATTTTGCGTTCGTGACACGGAGAACACCTATAAGCGCTTAAAAATTTTGCGTTTGTGATACGGAGGGCGCCCATAAGCGCTTAAAAATTTTGCGTTTGTGACACGGAGGGCGCCTAAGGGCGCTTAGAAATTTTGCGTTCGTGACACGGAGGGCGCTTGTTTTCACAAAAATGGCGCACATCGTAACTCAACTCCTGCCGTATGGTACGGCCGCTGCATATCAAAATCTGCCAAAATCTTCGCTTGTTTTCACAAAAATGGCGCACATCGTAACTCAATTCCTGCCGTATGGTACGGCCGCTGCATATCAAAATCTGCCATAGTCAAGGGGTTAATACGAGTTGATACCAATTTTATTCTTAAAGCAGGTGTCTGTGTTCGGTGATTGCAAAAAGGAAAACTCAGGGATCACTTATTTTCACTGGGTTGGTAGTTCTAGTGTTAAATAAATTTTGAAATTTGATTAATTTCCATCTCTCGCGACAAAGAAAAATTTGGATACGAAAATACGAAAATCACGAATCAGATTTTTTAAAGCCCCAAGTTGACCATGTCGAGCGTAAAAGAATGAAAAGGTATGAGAATAAGAAAGGCGGGCATAATTGAACGCGAGTGTACAAGGTGACAATGCGATCATAAAGAGAGACAGCTAACAATCTTAATTATCGCCTGATTTCAGATCAAAGTGCCTTTGAAAGTGAACTTCACGGTGAAGCCGAAGGACGTGTCGGTGACAATCATGAAGAAGCACCTGACCTGCGGCATCAAGGGTCAGCCGCCGATCATCGACGGTGATTTCCCGCACGAGGTCAAAGTCGAGGAATCAACCTGGGTGATCGAGGATGGAAAAGTGTTGTTGATCAACTTGGAGAAGGTAAGTGACGCGAGTGGGCACGCCGATTCCGTGTTCCTCGAACCCCTGAACCCCCGCGACCTTGGTGAAACGAGGATTCCGGCGGTGGGTATCGAGTACGCGAAGAATTCGTTGACGTGACGTGGCCATGGACAGTCAAAATAACGTAGAGAGCCCGATGAAGGCTGAATCGTGACCGTTTAACGAGCAGCTGTTTACTTGATATCTAACTGACAGGATACAGTGACATTGCTAGTATTTGGACATTTGCTCGGCCATGATAGATATTCCGTTGATGCTTTTGCGTTTGCTTAGTCGAGGATTCAACTAGAACCTTTTATAGATTCGTTTTCATTACGTATTCCGAGCTTCGTTTTCTCTCGTATCAAATTTCGCAAAGGAAAATCCTAAACGAACGTAAATTTATTACACGATGTATAATTAACACTGGGATGTTATATCAAAGGCGTCAGGATATCGCTATAATTAGTATCATTGGCTATTATCATTGTAATAGGACGATAATTCGAATATTAAATAATATTTTCGAATTTGTTTACTATTAATTTAATTCAAGTACTCGGAGCAAATTAATTTTCGATTTTCGAGCATCGACGAGAAGGTTCAAAGACACTTTGAAAGTAGACGTTAGTTCGTGAACAGCTTGCTAAAAATGAGGGTGATCGACTGTTGGCATAGGTGAACAAGATGCAATGGTGGGCGCACGTGGTGACCTCTGACCCGGAGATCAATACGAAGAAAGTGAATCCTGAGCCTAGCAATCTGTCCGATCTCGACGGCGAGACCAGAGGCCTAGTGGAGAAGATGTTGTACGACCAGAGACAGAAGGAGCTGGGCCTGCCAACGTCCGACGAGCTGAAGAAGCAAGACGTGATCAAAAAGTAGAAGACAGCGAGCAAATGATCATACGAAACACCATGACCCCATGGACGAGTTTAAACGACGCGAATTTTGTTTTACAGGTTCATGGAACAGCATCCGGAGATGGACTTCTCGAAGTGCAAGTTCAACTGAAGACAGGGAATATTATCGATGCATTCCATCGTGGAATCCAGGGTGGCTGTCCGTACTATTTTGTCACTGTGACGTCCCGATGTTCTCTGCACTCGTATCTCGATACACGTTCGCCATCGAATTTCCAGTCACGAAAGGTGGCACCACGATCCACGCAAGAGTCGGATCGTGCACACGTTAAAGGATACCATGGTTTTCTTGTCACAACGCTCTCGCTTCATACTTCCATACTTTCCTTTTCTCGTCCATCTCTGAACCACCATATATTTTTCATCACTGCTCTGCAGCAGAATCAGTCTGCACAAATGTATAACGTATGATTTACTTCTGTTTTTCGTATCTCGTTTCGTATTATTAAATAAAGAATGTAGAGAAAAGAAGAGATCGTCGACTGAGTCGTTTTTCTGTTCAATTTCGCGAGGATTATTCATCCCGTCATGTATAATAAACCGAACGATTACTCTTTATTTTATCGTCCGCTTGTATGAAATAGTCCATGTCATCGGTATAAAAGGCGATGTTGTACCAGTAGATAGAAAAAGAGTAATAAATGGTGTTCGCTATGTGTGAACAATGGCAGTCAGAATGATTACTCCGTCATTCGGAACGTCCTTATACTTAATCGCGTTAGAAGTACGGTGAATATTGTTCTTAACGTTATTACTAGTCTCTGGGGAAGTTAATGGCACTGAGTACGATAATTAGAGCCAAGCACTGGGGTGTCAATGCGCGAAGGTTTCAATTAATGTTATCGGTTTGTTTCATCACTCTGCTGATCCAACGAACATAGTTCGACAGTCTCGTGTATATCCCGAACTTTCCAAGTTTCCCACATCCCTCGCCGAAACTGGTGATGCCGAAGATGGTCCAGGGATGATCGGGTCGCCTGGGGTCCCGACAGAGAAGCGGGCCCCCGCTGTCCCCAGCGCAGGTATCTCTCTTCTCGTATCCAGCGCAGAACATGTTATCGGTGATCCCGTAGTCCACGTAGACGTCTCGACATGTTCTTGGGGATATTATGGGTATCTATAATGGAAAATGGACGATAAATTGAAGAGGAAAAAATATTCTTTAATCGACTTTTCGAGAGATCGTTTTACTCGTGAATATTAACGCGAATAGCGATAGGTGAACGTAACACACCCGAGCTTCGTAAAGAACATCCGTTCCAAAGTCATCCGTGACTCGCAGCTTTCCCCAGCCAATGATAGTGCACAGCTGGTTGGCGGGTAGAGACTGGTTAGGCGCTGGAAGACAGGCGATTCCTCTGGATGGTAATGCTGTTATGGCGACCGGAAGTCGTAGCATCGCGATGTCATTGTCCATCGTTTCAGCGTCGTACTCCGGATGTATCGTGACCGAATCCACCTGGAAGAAAGGGAAAATTAATTCGAGAAGATCAGAGGAAAAATTTCCTAAACGATTTATACTAAAGCGTAGATAAATTATGGAAGTGCATTTCAACTACATAAGATACCAAAGAATGTAGAGTATCCCTAGTACCAGAAATCTAGGAAATGTTAGCTAACAATAGATACCCTTAAATCCAATTCGGTGCCTTCCTTCACCGTCAAATCGTGCTCTCCGATGCGAACGTAAAGTCGCTTCCGGATACAGTGCGCCGCAGTCAGTACCCATCTCGGAGAGACCAAAGTACCACCGCAGAAAGCTTCCTGCAAAATGATTTCCCTTCAACGCTTAACTCGAATAATAATCAAATTCTAAACCTGGAAACACTCACGTGAAATCTGTTCAGCACTGCCACCTGCCAGGGCCAACTTCCGGGGATCGATGGACGTCCGCCAATGATCCTCTTGAACCGAGAAGGCAGAGAAGGCTTTTGAGTACTGCGTACTCCACACTTCCAAGTATGAGTATTCTTGTCGGGAATGAAGCTGTCCACCCTGTTCAAGTTTTCCTCGTTCAGTGCTATATCTACGAGTATACATGAGTACCACTTGGAAGAATCAAATGCAGTATGAAATTTACATTTGGATAATTACCGTCGTTGTCTTCTTCCCGGCTTCCACGGATTTTTCGATGAATCCATCTTTGGCAGAAGCTTCCCTCGACGTAGCAGTAGGCACTTTCCCTGATCATGTTGTGCCCACAGATCCCTGGCTTCTTACACCACCTGTGATCATTTAATCGGAAATTGAAGCATAGGAATCTTCGCAATTCGTCAAAGTTTATGGTATACTTTATTCACTTGTGACGTTGAGTGGTACACAGTGTCGTACAGGGTGACCATTTGCTCCATTTACCGTAATAACCTACAGATTGGTCATTTCCCCTCTGTCTCCCTTCTCTTGGTTCCGCTTCCTTCCTGGGCATCTAACATCGAACATTCGTGATAGTTATTAAGGAATTTGTAAGTCACACTTAAGTGACAGATGTAATAGGAATCCATGTATGACACGAATCGCGAATACCTGTGCGACCTGTATGACATGGAACTTGTCGTTCAGTCGATGGCCCCGTCGCTGATGTTGCTTGCACCTCCACCACCTGCCTTTCCTATTATGCTGACAGGTTCGCTCCTCCTACGCGAAACGCAAGACTCTGTCAAGCTTCATAAGCTCGAAAATGATAATCGCAACTGGGATAGCAATTTTCCAACTCACCTTAAGTACCGTGGTGCCGCATTTCTTCTTCACGCGACACCTCCTGACGCGATTCTTCGTGCAATGGCGATCGCATACGCTCCACTCGCTCCAGTTCGTGAAGTAGGACAGTTTCATGGATCCTGCGCATTCGTTTAGCTTATCGAGTGACACGAGAACGTGACTAGGACTGTTAAAACAGAGCTGAAGAGACACTCACGGTTCTTTGGTAACTGCTCCACAGCAGAACTCTGACCGGCCATGCGCTGCCAATCGGTGCCATTGTTCCCGTTGGTCACGAACGTCCCGTTTCCGCTCTAAAATTAGCAGAGAGAAACGCGTAATTAATCATCCACACCTGAAAGGGTGCACGCTGCCGTGACTGGTTCTAAGCGATTTTTTCCCCGCTAATAGGAATCTACATCGCCACGGAAATACCCACATTGCGAAATGTCATTTTTATTTTCGACCCATCGGCCGCAGCGTGTCGATAACGGTACGTAAATAAAACGTCATACGGTCCTGCGAGAGGAAAGCAATTCCCATCTGCAATACGCATCCGTCACGTAGGCAGATCGTTGCAAAAACCAGCCGAGATTAACGGCTGCGAAGCGAACTAATAGACACGCAGCGTATTAGCGTTGATGCGGCGCATGGACTGCAATTGAACGCGTTAAGTCCCAGCGATTTTCGTGACTCGTGCTGCGACCAGCAGCTGACATCTTATCTCAAATGAAAACTCATTCGTTCAGCAATTTTCTTGGATTAAAGGGAAGAAAAAAGGAAAAGAACTGGAAAGAAGGGTAATACGGCAACAACGCATTAACGCTAAACCTACCATGGTCGGTCAATTGACCGGTCAAGTGGTCAGTCGTGGTTTACGAAACAGAATGTTCATACAAGTACACGAATCTTGAAAGAACCGAAGAAAAGAGAAGGATGTAACGATATTAATCCTGTTACTTCTCTCATTGTCAGTCGTCATTTGTTAAAATTCCAAGGAATCGAAATTGACATTCGATTCACAGTAACTTAACGATACGAGGAATATTGAAAGCTTTGTCCGAGTTCTTCCTCTTAGACAATTATTTACTAAAAAATTCGCGTACAGAAACATTTAACCCTTTGCACTCGACGATTTTTTGGCTAGAGAAGAGTAGAAAATCAAAGATTCTCTACTAAGAAACTGACGATACTTTTTTAAGCGGTAATTAAAGAATTGTAGACTTATTTGATTTTAATACCTCGCACATTGTTACATCACATTAAATTTGATATATTAATTAATATCGATCTTCGAAATTTTATGAAACGGTGACTGAAGCTCACCTCTCGAGTGCAAAGGATTAAAAATTCCGTTACATCGATCCGCGAACAGTTAAGGGTGCCGTGGATAATAAAGGACCCGAAGAAGGTAGTGTGGTTAAAGTAATGGGTGATCCGTGACAGATTCGATATTAAATTTTATTAGTAAAACTGGCGTAGCAAAGAAACCGGCAATGAAAGATGTCGCTCGTTACTCGATCGTCTCGAGAACTCGGAAACGCAGGAAGAAACCGAACCAGTTGTCATCGGTTCGTGATATTTCGCAGTTGCATCGTGCCCGATTTTAACGACCCATTATTCCACGCGTGAACCACTCGTCGTACGTCAGCGAGGAACGGCGAAAAACAGGGGGACCAAGGAGAAGAAATGCAATGGAAGCGCGATCGAGTGCTCGGTGCGCGGATGGTTGGCCTGGAAGGCAGAAATCGTGGCAAAAACCGGCGAACAATTACTCGTTCTTAAGCACAGAGTTAATAGACCAGTCGTTGCTGACGTTGCCTGTCGACCGTCTCGGATATCGTGCAGCATTCCCCAAGGCTGTAACGATCAGCACGCGGTACTAAACTCAATTTGCCGGCTCGTAAATGGCACCGCGACGTAACCACCGGCGTCGTTGCTCAATGTCATCGTCGCGCTCTAAGATTCGGCCTTATGGAGAATTTTACGGGTGTCGTTACTGCGAATTATTCAAAATCTAGCGTGATCCATCGTGGATTATATGCAGATAAACTGGGATAGAATCTTCTGTATAAATCGGTCTTTTAATTTTCTCTCTACGTCGGCGTTGAGAAGATTGCTGGGAGAGAAGTGGTCGACGAACGTAGCCTCGTTGACCAATGAAAATGGATCTGGCACGCGTGGATCACACCCTTCCTCGATCCAGCCCACGATGCTCATTATCCTAGACAATGGTCGGGATAGATCCACGATGATGTTACCTCATCGAGGTCGACCGTCTTAAGAAACATAATATCGGACGTGAAAGAGCAAGCGTGCTCCGATAGGGCGATAAAGATGTACTTATTGACAGCGTTATGAATATAAATGTAAGTGGACCGGTAATTGTATATAATTGTAACTAGTCACCAATTCTGAAAAAGGTATCGTTCGGGAATGATCAGGCGTTGTGACGAAAGGAAATATCATTCGGTCAGTCGAGTCTGATTGTATTCCTTCTATCGTCTCGATGAAGGAGAACTGTCAAATTGGGATTTATCGCTAGGAACTATCACCCTTTAACATCTAAATAGAATCAGCTAGACGCAATGTATTTATAATAATTTAAAATGTTTTAATTTATACTACACGAAGGACTATTTCGTCAAGCAACGTACGTAATATGACAGGGATTAGGGCTAAAGCTGAAGACAAAATGACACAATCGCAAAAATACGATGAGTATTACGGATAGAAAAGTTATATTCAAGTTGCGATGACCCAATGAGGTTATTGGAAAAATTCGGAACGATAGATACGTAGTTGCTATGTCGGATTTTAAATGTAGGAATCGTATTAAGGAATTTAGGAGTTATCGAAAACGCGCGATATCTGGGATAGACATAGTCAGGATGGGCCGAATCTGTAAGAGTATTCGATAAGGTGGCGCGAAAGGTAAACACGTAACAAGCATAAGTTTCAAAATGAAGCTACGATTCGCTTCAATTTCGCGGCGCATGGATAGAGGGACCATCGCGGAAGACTATTAACACTTTGACTGCCACGTTGGTCATATATGACCGGCCATGGTTTATCCTGTGGTGCCACGGTGGTCATTGGTGACCTAGGTACTTATATGCTTTGAATAATAAAAATACTCGCATCCTGAGCGAAACTTGTGATTTCTGCGTGGCAGTCAAACGGTTAAATGACAGCTCCAGGAGCAGTCAGGAATAGAACGATGTGTGGTAAAGACAGAAGAATATCGGATCGAACGCAGTAAAGTAGAATAGGCCATTGAAGAGTAGACTTACTTAACCCAGCCATCTCCTCTCCTCCACTTACAGATGGTCGATTAAGAATTATATCCTACAGGGTGGTTCTTCCCAATTATCCCTCTAATTATCCTTGGTCGAGTTTGGGGACAGAAAAAGCGTGGGCATAATGGGACAATAGAATGATGTCATGGGACGTGCGAGGCGCGAAGGTGATCCTCTTTTTGCCAACTAGTTTTTGTGCAACTTTGATTTCTTCCACTCGTACAGATATGCGTGTAGTAACTGGTCCCATGTTCTCTCCACTGACCTAGATGATCAGCATAATTAACCAGTTACAAAATTTTCTCACGTCAGAGGTACACGCGTTCGTGGAAAATGGCATGCGAGCCAACAGCGTTCCTCGAAGAAATACTTTGGCGTCCGCGAAACGGGACGAAACAGCAGCGTAGTTGTCTAGGTCGACTCGTATTATTTTTCAGGGTAGAAGCACCGTGCAAACTCGATGCGACCTCGAGCGAAAGTTGATCGAACTCGCGGATTTCTGCAAACCCCAGTCCCGCCGGCGAATCTCGGAATCGTTGAACTTTACGACGTTGCTCGCGCGACAGTCGCGTTCGCTTCGTTTAAACGGGGTACAATAATTTCGTTCTTCCCTTGGAGTTTATGATCCGATTAATTCCGTCCGCGCAGGGAACCTCTTGAACCTATGCAATCCAAGAGTTCAGGGTTAACGATGTTCTCGTATCGCGCGATTAATTTCCTCGGCCCGTCTACGAAGGGAAACAGGTTCTCGCTCGATTTCCTTGCTCGTGACAAGTAGATCACGCCACGAATTTGCGCTCCTTCGTTTTCGCTTTACGACCATGACGAGTTCTCGCGTTATCTCACTGTTGAAATCGCGTTAAATTTCTAGGGGTGTGGGGGGCGAATTATTTTATAAAAGATCCCTTCAACGTCCACTTTTTCGTACTTTCCCGCCAAGAAAATTGCAAACTCGAAGCAGACATCGCTAATATTATTAGGATTGTTGCAACATCGATTCTGAAGAAAGGCAGGGGAGGGGGGCGAATTATTTCGCGGAAGATCCCCCCAACGTCCAATTTTTGCAATTCTTGGTATTTTCCCGCCAAGAAAATAGCAAACTCGAAGCGAACATCGCTAATATTAGTAGGATTGTCGCAAGATCAGCTGTAAAAAAGGGAGGGGGAAGAGAGCGAATTATTTCACGGAAGATTCCCCCAACGTCCAATTTTTGGTATTTTCCCGCTAAGAAAATTGCGAACTCGAAGCGAACATCGCTATTATTAGGATTGTCGCAACATCGATTCTAAAGAAAGAAAAGGGGGAGCGATCGAATTATTCCGCGGAAGATTCTTTCAACGTCCAATTTTTGGTATTTTTCCGCCAAAAAATTGCGATTTTCAAACAGACATCGCTAATATTATAAGGATTGTCGCAACACCAACTCTGAAAAAAGAAAGGGGGGTAGGGCAGTCGAATTATTTCGCGGAAGATTCCTCCAACGTCCAATTCTCGTATTTTCCCGCCAAGAAAATTACAAATTCGAAGCGGATATCGCTAATATTATTACGATAGTCGCAACATCCCGACGATGCTTACACCTGATCGCGACACCCCATAGAATTCGGAGACATTCGAAACACGAGAACGATGCGAGTAATCGTTGCGGGTCGAGATTCGTCGCTTCTTCCGCGACACGGCGGAGGAAGAAAAAGCAGACGGCTGGAACGGGAGAGGATGGTCTATACGGATACGTTCTGAGCAGAAGGCACGAGGAATTTGTATGCGCCGCGGTGGACATGGCCAAACTAGGCTGAAGTCCGCGGTGCCTTGCATCTCGGCGACGGATTGGCAAAAACCGCGTGCCACTCGCGGTCGAAGCGATTCCCGTTGGCCAGTGCCGACGAAAATCGTCGTCATTGACGATTTTCAACGAGAAAGCAAAGTTCGGAGGGAAGAGAAATTGGGGAAAAAATGGAATTTTATCGCGATTCGGCCGAGGACATCGCGATCGAAGGAGAGGCAGCCAGGACGTA